ACGACGAAGAAAGGAGAAAATATACCATAATGTATTTTGATTTTCTAGTGGTAAATTAATCACAAATTGATGACCACGATGATTATTTCTTAATTCAATAAATTCTTCATATAAATTATATGGAATAAGTGGATTTGGTAATAATCTTAAATAATCTTTAATCACTGCTGCAGCTAAAACACAATCACAAAAATCCATTGGATCAATATCTTTTTCTCCATCAACTTGTGTTCTAATTTTCTTCATTTCTACTGTACCACCACTCATCCGAAAAATACCAACATACTCATCTCCTTTATGTTCTTCTAAGTATTGCATTGCTCTGAATATAGGAAGTGGAACTCTCCATTGTGACTTTTTTATAGCATGTTTTAAAGGAATTCCATACATTCCACGTACTGTAGCTAGTTCAGCTATTTGTTCCATCCAATATACATAGTCTTCACAATTATCAAATTTTAAAATATAAATTTTATTTGATATAATACGAAAACATAATAATGCATCTTCTTCTTCAATATGGTTGTCATTCAAGTCTAATGTTAATATACTTGTCTCTAAATCAATTTCTTTTGTTCCAATGACTAAAACTCTTCGTTTTAATTTATTTGTTATAATACTTATTTTTTTCTCTTCAAACTTTCTTCTTTTATAAACTCCAACATATTGACAATGTGGTAGTTTTCTTTGAGTTGAATTATTAACTACATTAATTGATGGGACATTACACTTCTCAGTCATTTTACACTTTATTTCAAATCAAGTTACTTTCATTTTTCCTTTTCATTTTTCCTGCATTTAAAAAATTGTTTTGTCTTTATTAAGTCACTTCTTCTGTTTTATATAACAGTTTTATTAAGGAATTAAACAGGTAATACATTAATTGTCTCTTAATTTTATTCATATTAATTCTAATTAGTTTGTTGACTATTGTAAAATAAATGAGTTATGTGAGTTTGAATATTTCTCCTCTAAATAAAAAAAATTATCAAAATTTAAGAAAAAGAAGAGATTATTTATCCAAAGAGTCAGATATTATTATGATTATTTTTCTCTTCATCATAACTTAAATTATTCATTTTTATTGTCTCCAAACTTACTTTGTGTAAAATTATTAATAAAACATCAAATTAATATCTATGGAATTTGGAATAATTTAGAATAAATGAAATACTGGATATTTTGAGTTGATTCAGAAGAAGAACATTACACTCTTATTCGGTTATTAATGTTTATAAGTTCTTTCTTCTTAAATATCAAATAGAATAATCTGATAATAACCTTTGAGTAGTTAAAGTTTTAACCAAATGTAATGAGTCTTAAATTTTTTAGTTAATTCTTTAAGTCACTTATTTCATCATGGAACATCTTTCTTTTAAATTATGAAAATAAAGACTTTAAGTTCATTGAATATCTAAAACTGATTAAAAGACATATGCACTTAATTATTAAAAATTCATACAACCAAATATCAGTTTTGTTATTGTCTTTTGAGTCAGTTTAGACTCTATTCATTATAACTTCTCAACTCTTTTTGATAAATATGAAAATAATATAAAAAGTTGTATATCAAAACATGGAACTATTAATAAAGTAGTGATGAAATAAATCATTGATAATTAATTGTTAATAGAATTGTTATTTATTCATTGTTTATTGGATATTATTCATATCATATATCGTTAAAATGATTATTTTATTTATTATTTTATATTTTCTTCTTGTTTTGTTAATAAATCTTTTTATTTTATTTCTTCTTTTTATCTTCTTCTTTGATGTTTATTTCAATTTTAATAAATTTCATCTTTCTTTATTTCTTATTTTATGTTGATTGAATATTTCATTATCATTATATTATTGTGTATAATTTCATTTATTATTATTATCATCATTTATATCTTTTTCTTTTCTTATTATTCTTTCATATTATCTTATTTCATTCTTTCTATTATTATTTATTATATTTCTTATTAAATTACTTCATCATAATCAATTATTATTTGATATTTCATTATTTGATTTTGTATTAATATTTGTGTGTTGTTTCTGATTTACATTCTTCATTTCTCATTCATTTTCATTTAATAAAATAGAAGAATAAAAATAATGAAAGAAGATAAATAAAATAAAGAATAAAAAATAATAAATAACATAAATATGTTGATGTATTTTATCTTTTCTTTATTTGTTTATTCTTATTTCTATTATCTTATTCATTTGATTCATAATGAATTAATTCAATGAAATGATACAAATAAATTGTTTATTCATTTTATCTTATTTCTATTTTATTCTTATTTCTTTTCTTATTTATTAAAAACACCCTCATTGGGTGTGAAAATTTCATTAAATTAAATAAAATAAATCAACATTGAATTATGTCCATTTTTAATTCACCATTTCATTCATTGGCAGATGAATTGTTCATATTCTTCATTGTTTTGTTTTTATTCTTTTTTAGTTCATTTTCAATTAATCAATATTGAATCATTTCATTTGAATTACTATGATTCGTGTTGGTGTGAAACGATTTGGATATAGTTTTCCATAAAGTGCATTTTCAATTCCTTCATATTCAAATGAATATTGATTACAATGTGATTCTGTTTTATAATTTTCTTTATAAACACAAATATCATTTAAATATTTTCCATCACATCCAAATATAAATAAACAATCATCTGATTGGTTCCATAACCAAAATGCATGTCGTGGTTTAATATCAAATTTCTTCATTCCTTCCATTCTTCCATTTGATACTAATGAAAATAAAAATGATTTTGAATCATTTATATAACCACCAACTTTATCAATTTTAGAATTAACATATCCTCCAAATTTATTTCCTTCTTCATCTTCAATAATAATTATTATATGTTCTTTATTCATTATTCTTTGATCAATTACTGAGGTATTAATATTCCAATCATCAATATCTGAATCAAATAGGGTATTATTTATTCTTCTTTCTGTCAATTCTTCTATTTGTTTGATAAACATTACATTCATTTTAATTTAATTTGATGTTTAAAAATTCAAAATATGAATGTTTAAATAGATAATACCCGTAATTAACATATTAAGTCAATTGTTATTTTTAACATCATTCTATTTTAAACAAACATCATTCATTTCATTTTTACAATAACAATAATTATATAATAATAATAATATAATAATAATAAAATTATAATATTGTTATTTTCTATAATTAGTTTATTTTATTTTTAGTATTTTTTTCATTTTTGTTATTTCATCTTTTGTGATTTGAATTTTCTTATTTTCATTGTTTTTTTTATTTTGAAATATAGTTGAAGAATGTAAATCAGAAACAACACACAAATATTAATACAAAATCAAATAATGAAATATCAAATAATAATTGATTATGATGAAGTAATTTAATAAGAAATATAATAAATAATAATAGAAAGAATGAAATAAGATAATATGAAAGAATAATAAGAAAAGAAAAAGATATAAATGATGATAATAATAATAAATGAAATTATACACAATAATATAATGATAATGAAATATTCAATCAACATAAAATAAGAAATAAAGAAAGATGAAATTTATTAAAATTGAAATAAACATCAAAGAAGAAGATAAAAAGAAGAAATAAAATAAAAAGATTTATTAACAAAACAAGAAGAAAATATAAAATAATAAATAAAATAATCATTTTAACGATATATGATATGAATAATATCCAATAAACAATGAATAAATAACAATTCTATTAACAATTAATTATCTAATTTTTATGTTAAAAAAGACACTAAAAATATCAATCAGAAGATTAGAAGTGAAGGATAAGAGAAAAATATATCTAAGAGTGGCATTGTTTTAAGGTTTTTATTTTACTTAAAAAATAATAAAGGAGTTACAAGAAGTATATAAGTTAAGTGTAATTTGTTAGTGACAATAGTCCTTCATAAAAGATGTATGAAAAGTTTTTATTTTGACGGCAATATTCTGTATTTCATTTTCTGGTGGTAGAATGGCAATTCTAAAATGATACGTATTATCTTTTTGACCAAAACCAGATCCTGGAACAACACACACCCCTATACTTTTTAACATCCTTAAACAATACAATTCATCTGGTTTTTGATCCTTTCTTTTACACTCATCAATATATTTGTTTGGGAATGTAATCTTTGGGAAAAGATAAAGAGCACCCATAGCTTCATTACAAGAAATTCCTTCACACTCATTTAGAACAGAATAGAGTAACTTGGCTTTTCTTTTCAAAGAGTTTAAAATAGACATTTTTTCATTCATGTATTTTGGATAAGATTCATCACCTTCTTTTGGTGGGTTGCAAATTATTTCAACCATCTCTTGACCAACTACATTTGAACATAAATTGGTAGATGCTATTTTATACATCTGAGAACGAGCAAATGAATTAATATTTTCTATCTGGAAATATCCACCTCGCTTTCCACATTCACCATAAAATCCTTTTGAAACACTAAAAAATGAGATTAGCTCAACACTATTTTTCACCTCATCCCTCATTGACTTCAATACCTTTCTGAATGATGTAAATGGTATTTCACCGTAGATATTCTCTTGATATACTTCATCAGCTAATAAACAAATTTTTTTTTCATAGCAAAATTCTATAATTTCTTTCATATTTTGGACTGTAAGAACTTGTCCAGTTGGATTACCTGGGTTAATACAAACAAATCCTTTCACTTGAATACCTTTTTCAACCGCTTGTTCATAAACTTTTCTTACGGATGTCATATCTGTTGACCATTTTTTTGATTCATCTAGAAAGTAATTAATTTGAAAACCTCCGAATTGAGATATTGAAGCACTGTATAATGGGTATTGTGGAATAGGAATCATAATTCCATGAAGAGGATGTGAAATCAACATATTTAAAATCATTTTTATTCCAGTAGATGCTCCATCGGTTATAAATACGTCATCAGGGGATGGAGCAGTTCCATCTCTATGTTTTATAAATTTACAAATTGATTTTCTGAATTGAATAACTCCCATAGAATTAGTATATGCACCACTTGTTCCAGTACAACCAAGACTATTAATAATTTTTTTAGCATGGGTGATAACATCTTTCGGAAAAAGGGTTGTATGATTTAAAAGCTCAGGATATTCAACTATTGAGATAATCTGCCTTGGATATGTTAATGGCTGTTGGTTACATATCTGTGGATTACCAATATTACAATAAACTACTTTCTCAAATGGATAAGGATTATTTTTTCCTTTTTTTCTTGCTTCTTCAATTTCTTTTTGAATCTCATTTGCCTCTAATACTAATTTTCCTCTAACAGCATATTGAGTTGCAATGATACAAGGATTAATACTTTGTCTTGAAAATGCTTTCATAGTATGATAATATTTTTTTTGAGAAATTTCTTCCTTAAATAATAAAGGACTTGACCTTTCAAGCTGACAATTGAAAAGATTTATGGAAAAGTCATTAATCTAATCAATCAAATCTCAAGCATCAAAAGAATATTCCAATGTAGTTATTAAACCGTTACCACGTTTTTTAAGACATCTGTTATTTTTGTATATTCTAAAGATCTTTAACAACAAATTGTTATCTATTCTCTCTCCATACTTAAACTCTTAAAAGTGAAACCCTTGAAAAAAGTAGAATTTAATGTAATTTAAAATGAACAAAAATAAAAATATCAAATTACTAAAGAAGAGCTTTAACAACTTTTTTCATTCTCTCTTCACGTTCTCTTTTTAAAATAAGAAAGATAGAACTTGTTGCAATAATAAATAAAAGACATAAACTTGCACAAAGAATAGTAAAGATGAATCTCATTGTGAAGTTATTAGTCTTATTTTCAATACATGATTTTGTAATTGAATCATATGAATATCCATTTTCACAGGCAAAACATTGATTATATGTACATAAATCACAATGTAAAGGACATGAAACACACTGACTATTATTCAAATAAAATCCATTAACACATGACATACAACCATTTTCATTACATGAGTTACATTTACAATGAACATCACAATCTATTCTCTTAGTTAAACCTTTTGTATTGTAGACATTAAAGATTCAAACAAACAAGCCATACAACATTTATCCTCTCGTTTAACAAATCCATTACTACACTGTTGACAATGAGTTGAATCAGTGCAAGAAAAACATCCAGTTTGACATGAATAACATTTACCATCGTCTGAAAGAAAACTTCCTTCTTTGCACTTTGTACAACCTACTTCATCTAAACAAGAATCTTCATAACAATACAAAGGGCATTTAATACAATCTCCATTCTTTTCATAATATGATTTTTGACATGTTATGGCAATTGAGTTAAATACAAGTATGTTCAAAATAATGAGAATTGTCATAAAACTATCACAATTTCTTTTCTATTTCTAAGTTCTTGTTAGTAAAAAATGACAAAATTTTATAACAAAAAAATGTTTTTTCAAAGAAAAAAAATATGAACTTAATATTAAAAATAGAGATGGAACATAAATTATTCAGTGAATGGACTTTTTGGTTTGATGGATTTTCAAATAAATCAACTGAAACATATGGTTCAAACATTGTCCCTATTGGAAGCTTTAAAACTGCTGAAGAATTTTGGGGAATATATGATGCTATTCCTAAATTAGGCACAATGGAAAATGGATCAGATGTTTCATTATTCAAAAATGGAATTAAACCAATATGGGAAGACACTAGTAATGTTGGAGGTGGAAGAATACAAATAATTTTGACTAATGCTAATAATGAGTTATGTCAACAATACTGGAGAGATACTGTTTGTTATTGAATTTTTATTTATAAAATTCATGTAGAATTCTTACGGAATGATAGTTATTAAGTTTAATTGGTGAAACTATTCCATCTGCTTATTGTATCAATGGTGTTGCATTTTCTGTTCGTCAACACAATAAAATTGCGTTATGGCTTGACAAATCAGGAAAAGAACATTTAAATGAAATATCAAAAAAATTAAGAGACATTATTCCTAGTGAAGGGACAATCATATATTACAGTCATGACCCTTCTGTAGAGCCTATTGTGTGTTAAGAAAATACTTCTATCATTAATAATCTTGTTATTATTTTAATTTTTTTATTATTAAATAAAAAGAAAAAATTGAAAAGACAATAAGAAAAAAGTAAAATTGAGGAAAGAACGTTTCAGATGAAACGCAGACACCTCGTTCCTATGATAGATGAAGAAAATATGAATGAATTCATTCAAGAAATTAAACAACAACCCAAAAGAAAGGGATTAAGAAAGGATGAAAATGGTATATGGAGAAGAAGGTCTTTGTCAAATGAACGTAATTCTCCAAATAAAGAAAATAAGAAAGTTATTGAGACAAAGCCAATCAAATCAATCAATAAATCAATAAAAAATAATAAAACAATATTGTCTTTTCATCAAACAAAATTTGATAATGAACAAAAAAGAAAAAAAGAAAAATCAATGAAAGATGAAGAAAAAGTAATAAATGAAGATAATGAATTGAGTGATTCATTGATTCAATTCTTAGATCAGATTGAGGCAAATGATAATCAAGAAAATATGAAAGAACAAATTAACCAACCAAATTTGAGTTCAACAACAGAACATTCTCTTTCTATCTTACCTCATCTTTCTATCAAAGAAAGTCAACAAGGTGTTGAAGAAAAAAAAAATAATAATAAAAATATTCAACAAAAGAAAGAAGAACCTGTTGTTATTAACCTTGTTGAATCTCCATCGAAAGAAGATAGTTCAGACAATGAATGGAGTCTCCCAGCATTTTTACCAAAAAGAATAAGATCAATATCAAAAGAAGAAGTTATTAAACTAGACAAAAATATATATCGTAATAATGATGAATATTATGGGGAGTCCTCCCACTCAATTTATGTTGCATCTCAAGCTGGGTGTATTGACAATGTTTCTGATGATGAAGATGAATTTAAACAAGATGAAGTAACACCATCTCAACAAGAATTCATAAATGATGAATTACCAACACAAAGGTTTGAACCAGCATTTTATGCAGCAAGTTTGTCATCACAATGTCCCCAAGGATTTTCAACATCAAAAAGAGAGAGAATGATAAAGAAATTATATGGAAAGACAACAAGATTTTCCTTTCATTGAATTTTTTATGTAAAAATTTCATTATGTTTTAATCAACAACAATAAGATAAAAATATAATTTTTTCGGATAGAAAGTTCTTTCTTTAAAGAGAAAATAAAATTAATAAAAACCCTTGTTGGAATGTCCTTTAGAGTCAGTGATAAGATCTTCTTTTTAATTCTTTGAAGAAATAATAGATCAAAATTTCTTATTTTAGAAACAGAAAACGTTTAGAGAAAAAACCTAGGCAAATTTAATATTTTAATTACACGTAATATAATAATAAGATATATTAAATTAAAAATGGTAAAAAACAAAATAAATATAACCAAAGAAGTTTTTAATAAGAAGTTGATAAAAATAAAATTCAATCACTGACTTGATGTGGAAAATGAGATGATTTATTGTCGGCGTGAACTGAATTATTCATTGTATATTATGATATTTACATTACTACTCTTCATCTGCTTTTCATCTGCTTATGACTTGAATACAGACTTTGATTCTTTCTTCTTAGAAGATTATTCAATGTTTAATGAAGTTGATAATGATAATGATTTAGAAACTTTATTGTCTTTCTTAGAAGATGAAGATTCATTAGATCTTATGTTAAATGATGAAGAATTTTGGGATAATATCAAGAGAGGATTTAAAAACACAGTAGATAAGACAACTAATTGGTTTGCTGAACATGGAGAAAAAGTTTCTCAAGTAATTGGAAAAGTTAATAAAGTTGCTGGAGTTGTTGAAAAAGTTGCTAAGACTGTAGGAACTGTTGCTACAGTTGCTAGTGCAATTCCAGGAGTAAATGCTATTGCTGCACCAGTTGCAGCAGCTGCAAAGACTATAGAAGGAGGAGCTAAAGTTGTTAAAACTGTATCTTCTGTTGCACAGAAGACTGTAGATACAGTTACAGACTTTTCAAAAGGATATAAAAAAGGTGGTTTGAAAGAAGGATTAAAACAGGGAGGTAAAACACTTGCAAAGAATGTTAAAGGATGGGCAGTTAATAAAGCTGCTGGTATTGTTGCAGAAGGTGTTATGGGAACATTATCTCAAGTTCGTTCAGGAGAGAAAGTAGATTTGTCTAAAAAGAAAATAAAAGAAGGTTTTAAGGCTAAAGCAAAAGAGAGTTTTAATATTAAAAATAATGTAAAGAAAACGTTTAGTGATGCTAAAGATGCTATCAAAGTAAAAGATACTTATAAAAAGAATTTAGATAAAATTACAAATGGTGCTAAGACATTATCACTTAAAGATATTAAAAAAGGTGCTAAAAGCTTAAAAGGAAAGAATATTTCACAATTAGCAAAAGGAGCACGTTCTTCTGTTAAGAAGTTTGTTAAAACAGCAACTACTGATACTGTAAAGAATAATGTTTTGAAAGAAGTAAATAAAGCAGTTGAGAAAGCCGCTGAAAATGGCGTTAAAGGAAAGATTAAAGATACATTGAAAAATGGATATTCAACAGCAGAAGCAGCTGGTGTTGCAGGAGGTAAAATGTTAGCTGGTAAAGCAAAGCAAGTAATTGAAGATAGGAAAGCTAAGGCAGCAGAAAAGAAAGCACAAAAGAAAGCTAAAGCAGCTCAAAAGAAGGCACAAAAGAAAGCTAAAATGTTACAAAAGAAGGCTAAAGCAGCACAGAAAAAGGCACAAAAGAAAGCAAAGGCAGCTCAAAAGAAGGCACAAAAGAAAGCTAAAATGTTACAAAAGAGAGCTAAAGCAGCACAGAAAAGAACAGCAAAATCAGTTTCAAAGAGAGCATCCAGATCAAATAGAGTTGTTAAAAAGAATGTTACAAAGTCAAAAAAATCTAAAAAATAATACAATATTTTTATTCATTTTTTTTCTATTTTTTCATATAAATTCTTTAGATTCGAAGATGGCACGTCAGAGACACCACATGAAACCCTAAAATAATCCCATGCTTCGAATCTCCCAGTTATCGTCTGGTCATGACGTGCCTTTGGTGAGATAATATCTATTCAACACTAACTGTTTATTATTATTAATATTTATTAGAAGTGATTATTATTCATTAACGTGTATTGTTATTCATTGAGGTGTATTGTTCTTCATTAACGTGTATTGTTATTCATTATTAATTATAAGGATTATTATTTACTAAGGAGGTATTATGTATTAAGAATTATCATTTATTAAAGAAGACGCATATATAATTGATATTGTTGCACAAAAATTAAACATAAGGATATTATCAAGGAATAGGGTTTCTTTAAGGGGTGTCGAAGGTAAAAGGAGATGAGCTATAACAGTATGTTATGGATATACTCTCCTTAAAACAACAATATAAAGAATGAGAAATATTATATTACTCATTAAAATCAAAATAAAAGTCAGGCAGCAACTTAAATGAGGAACCATTTAAGTCGAGCATGCTTGCAAAAACTTTATTTCAATAGAAATAAAGCGTGTTGAAGAAACTGATTCGCTCACTTCTCAACATGATGAAAAACCAAAAAAATAAGGTTAATCATAATTGATTTCTTTTTTTTTTTTTTTTTTTTTTTTTCTTTATAAAAATTATAATTAAAATAATAATTAATAATTCTTAAATTTTGAATAAATTAATAAAGAATTTTATTTATTATAAATTATTTCATTTTATTCATTCTTCTTTTTTAATAAATTTTTATAAATTTTATTATTCTTCTTTTATTAAAAAAAATATTAATTTTAAGTATTTTTTAAATAAAATTATTTTTCTTTATAAAATTGTCTAAATCCTCTTTCATCAAGAACATCAACTATTTCATTTAATGAATAATTTGAAATGTCTAATTCTTCAATAACATCACCAGCAATATTATAAAATTTCATAATATCTTTTTTTTGTTGATTTATCATGAAAATTATCATTGGACTAATTATTAAATTTTACTTTAGTGTTATGAATTAATTTTAACAAACTAATTTTTTACTTCTTCTTCTAAAAACATTGAAACACCTTCTCCTCGAGTACATATTATTCTTGTCTCAATAGACGTTTTAAAATATTTTGAAGAATCAAAACTAAGGCATAATGAGACAAGGAGAAGAAATATTATCATGTCTATTTCCTTTTATTTTTTTAGTTTTAATATTTCGTTATTTTTTAAGATTCAATCTAATCATAAATAATCGTTTTAGATAACAATAAATAATTAAATCTTAAATAATTTTTGAATCTCAACACCACATTCAGCACAATAATTACATCCCATTTCTTCTTTCCAAATTTTAAAGCAAGCTGAACACATAATATGACCACATTCTAGAGAGTATAGAGTTGAAGTTTGTAACCCACATATAGAACAAGTTCTTTTATTTTGAACATTTACACTTTGAGTTTTTTTTTGAGTAATTTTTTTAATACAACATGGATTAAGTTGATTTGTGATGATAGGTGTTGGGGTTGTCTTAGGTAAAACAGTAGGTACTAGTTGATTATTTATTTTTTTGAATATAAAAAAATTTGTGTTGTTATTTTTCATCTGTATTGGTTGACTTAATGACTTTTCTATCAATAAATAGTTCATTAACTTTTTTTGTTTTAAAAGTCAAAAAAAGATGAATAAACAAAAACTATAATAAGAATTACCAATTCAAATGTAAAGCATTTTCTTGAGCACTTTCTTTTCTATCAATAAAAGTAAGTTTAATACTGTCTTTTATTGATTCATAAATACTTTTATTCTTTTCATCAACAACTTTTGGTTCAAGAATTTCCATCATTTTTTTAACTCGTTCATCTTTTTCTTTAGGAGAACATTTTATTTGTCCACCACCACAAATACAACCACCAGGACATGCTTCTACTTCAATAAATTGTAATTTAGTCTTTGACTTAACAAATCGAACAACATTTTGAATATTTCTAAATCCATTAGCAATAGCAATACCATCATTTTCAAGGAAATCTTTATTTCTTGTTACTTTAAATGGTTCTTTTTTTTGTTCCATTAAAGCAATATATTGTGCTGGAGAAGAAATAAAACCTTTCATTCTTGTTGAAGTAATTTCATTAATTGGTTCATTCCAATCAATAATTGAATCTATTTCACTTGTTGTTAATACACAATCAATAACATGAATATTATTATAAGTTTTTGTTGCTTCTAATTTTTTATCAAAACACATTTGAATACTTACATGGTATATTTCTGAATTTTGTTTTTTCATAATCATACCTGCAATTGTCATTGATGATGCAACTTTAGACATATATTCAAACATCCATTTCCCTTGCATTTTTTCAGAATAACAAACCCATCCAGGACAAGTACTCGTTAATAAAACTTTATTCATTTTTTGATATTCTTTAAATTCATCATAAATACCAAATAATGATATGTCTTGTCTACTACTAAATATATTTTCTTTATGTTTTTTTTTAATATTCATTTATTCTAAACAACAAACGCTTGAGATAAATCTCTTAATTCATCAACACCTTCTTTTTTTAATGCCTTTTCTACTCTTGTCCATACTACATTAAATGGTTGGTTATGTACAACACTCATTGATGCAATACATTCATCTGCAATAGTACATATAACTTTTTTTCTTTGAGAAAGTTCTTTAATATTCTTTCTAAATTCAGGTAATCCTTGTTGTTCAATTAACACTGTTTCTGCAGAAGTAATACATCCACTACATGCCAAACAATCTTCTAATCTAACAGTAACTTTAGTTAATTTAGGTAATTCATTTCCTTCTTCAGGACCACCTAGTGATATTTTTGCAGCGCCTTTATGTTCTTGTGGTGGTGTTTCTTTTAGAGGCATTACACAAACGAGATTTTGTTGAATATAATCATCAACACCAGCAATTTGTAACCCAACAGAAAGGCTCATTTATATTTTTTAGATTTTAATTTCTTTCTTTTTATTTCAAGTTTGCGTTTTGTAGTATTGAAGTTTTTAGTCATTTCAATTACAAGGTCCATGGACCATTTCGTAAGTAGAAAATATTTATCAAACAAGAAACATTTATTCTTTTCAAATAAAAACTAAATAAAAAATAGTTAAAGAAAGAAGACGTTGATTATTTGTATTTTGATTCAACTGATGGAACTAGTAAATGAATAACACACATCATTGGAGTAACTTCTTTTTTATCTAATAAACTGAACTCAGTAGCAAATAAAATAAAATGCTAAAGAAAGAGTTAATATTAAAATTAATTACAGGTGAATAAGAAATTGAAATAACAAACTTTAAAAGATGAATTTAAATGAGGTTCTTCTTCTAATTGAGTAATTTGATTTAAATGATGAAGATAAATATGTGCATATACTCGGAATAATCGTTTAAATATCATTTGAACCACTTTTTGGAATTTCTTTGGAAAAGGAACACCAACAGTACATGGAAATACAGCTTCATCATCAAGTTGTTGTTGAACGTAATCAAGACACTTATTAATATATTCATTTGCAGGTAATGAAAACAATTCTTTTCCTTCTTTCCATCGATATTCAAATTGAGGACCAGCAGTCATTACTGGACATGACTCTTTTGTACAACTTTCAGCAATTGAGTCATATAATAATTGTGATTCTTTAAAAAAGTCAAGACAATGTACAGCAAGCCATTCATTCAAATCTTCTCCTGGGGGAAGAAGAATTGCTTGTTCTATTTGTCCAATTCCAAGTGTTTTTTGTACATGTTCTTCTAACATAATTTGTTTTTGGGTTTGAGGTTTTTTAATATGTCTAATAGTTTTACCACTTTTGAACATTGTCTGAAATACAAGAATTTAGTTCCTTCTTTTTTTTCTGTCTTTTTTTTTGTTTTTATTATTATTATTATTATTAATTTTTGTTAAAGAGGTTGATGATAATTGTTGGTCATGGAAATAAGTAAAAAGTAAAATAAAAGAAGAGTCAAAGAACACGAATTATTTCTTTTGCTTTTTGTTGATATGATGAATATTCTTTTGAATTAATAAAAGAGTAAT